GTGTTTTATAGTTTCCTATGTATAGGTCTTTTGTTTCTTTAGGTAGATATACTCCTAAGTATTTTATTCTTTTTGTTGCAATGGTGAATGGTATTGTTTCCTTAATTTCTCTTTCTGTTTTCTCATTGTTAGTGTATAGGAATGCAAGAGATTTCTGCGTGTTAATTTTATATCCTGCAACTTTACTGTATTCATTGATTAGCTCTAGTAATTTTCTGGTAGAGTCTTTAGGATTTTCTATGTAGAGGATCATGTCATCTGCAAACAGCGAGAGTTTCACTTCTTCTTTTCCTATCTGGATTCCTTTTATTTCTTTTTCTGCTCTGATTGCTGTGGCCAAAACTTCCAAAACTATGTTGAATAGTAGTGGTGAGAGTGGGCACCCTTGTCTTGTTCCTGATTTCAGGGGAAATGCTTTCAATTTTTCACCATTGAGGGTGATGCTTGCTGTGGGTTTGTCATATATAGCTTTTATTACGTTGAGGTATGTTCCTTCTATTCCTGCTTTCTGGAGAGTTTTAATCATAAATGGATGCTGAATTTTGTCAAAGGCTTTTTCTGCATCTATTGAGATAATCATATGGTTTTTATCTTTCAATTTGTTAATGTGGTGTATTACATTGATTGATTTGCGGATATTAAAGAATCCTTGCATTCCTGGGATAAAGCCCACTTGGTCATGATGTATGATTTTTTTAATATGTTGTTGGATTCTGTTTGCTAGAATTTTGTTAAGGATTTTTGCATCCATGTTCATCAGTGATATTGGCCTGTAGTTTTCTTTTTTTGTGGCATCTTTGTCTGGTTTTGGAATTAGGGTGATGGTGGCCTCATAGAATGAGTTTGGAAGTTTACCTTCTTCTGCAATTTTCTGGAAGAGTTTGAGTAAGATAGGTGTTAGCTCTTCTCTAAATTTTTGGTAGAATTCCGCTGTGAAGCCATCTGGTCCTGGGCTTTTGTTTGCTGGAAGATTTCTGATTACAGTTTCGATTTCCTTGCTTGTGATGGTTTTGTTAAGATCTTCTATTTCTTCCTGGTTCAGTTTTGGAAAGTTATACTTCTCTAAGAACTTGTCCATTTCTTCCAAGTTGTCCATTTTATTGGCATAGAGCTGCTGGTAGTAGTCTCTTATGATCCTTTGTATTTCGGTGTTGTCTGTTGTGATCTCTCCATTTTCGTTTCTAATTTTGTTAATTTGGTTCTTCTCCCTTTGTTTCTTAATGAGTCTTGCTAATGGTTTGTCAATTTTGTTTATTTTTTCAAAAAACCAGCTTTTAGCTGAAGCATGGATTTTTATGCTACAAGAATAAATGAATTTATTTATTGTTAGCGAAAATGCGTTGATTGTAGTGGTTCCTCTTTTGATTAATAAAGCTTTGTTTTGAGCCTAGCTATAATGATTTAAAATTCATGGTCTGAAACCACAGTTACTTTTCTACCAACCTAATATATTGTACAATAGATTTGCTTTAAAATTATTAATTCATGGTCTGAAACCACAGTTACTTTTCTACCAACCTAATATATTGTACAATAGATTTGCTTTAGAATTATTTGTATGAAACCTTGTAGCTATAGATTTTATTTAAGACTGGACAATGTCTTACGTGTAGTGATGGATGTTGACTAGACTCATTGTGATTATCATTTTATTCTTTATACATATGTATAATCATTATTTTATACATTTGAAATGTCATGTAAATGATCTTGCAGTAAAAAAAATGGAAAATGCCTACTGTATAATTCAGTTAGCAAAACTAATTAACCAAATTAGTCAATCAAATAAAACTTTAATTTCTATTAGAAAATTATGATTTTATTTTTAAGTTCAAATGAGTGAATTAATATGTATCTCTGTGACCATCATGTAATTTATCTTGTTCCCTGTATTTGAAATAGGGTACTATCTCCCCCTTAATATTTCTTATACAAGCTCTTTTTGCTTTGCTCTTTTCTATTTCTCAGAAGTATTGTCTTCTTGAATTATCTATTTGTTTGATGTTCTGTTACTGTTTACATTCCAAAACAAAGCATTATAGCAAGATCCAGAATGAGTGAGAGTGTGCCTTTCATAGTCAAGGGGAAAAGTAATTGTGAAAGGGGAGTTTTGAAAAGAATTCATTGTACACAGGTATATTTGCAGACAGATTAAATCTGGAAGAAGGCCATATGAAATATCTGAAAATTAATACTCTTAAATGTATTCATGCTCATGTATGACTGGAAGATTTTTCCTTCCTTGGTCTAGGCCATGACATATGTATATAAGTAGAACTTTACATTTACAGACTTCACATGTATGACTAAATGTTCCAAATATCTTTCTAAAATGTACCAGTATAAAGGTTATGTAACAGTTTATGAGAGCTTCAATTTCTCCATAATCTGCCAGTTTGTTGATTTACTAGATATAATAAATTCTTGCAATATTATTGGCAAAAATAGTTTTTGCCAATATTTTTGCCAGTATTGTTATGAGATGGTATCTTGTTTTACCTTTCATTTGCCTAGTTGTAATATTAAATATATTTTTATATATTTATTTGCCATTTCAGTTTCTTCTATTGGATTCCTCTCTATATCTTTTACCCATTTTTTCTGTTGGGACTGTCTTCTTGAGTTCATCATATGAATTCTATGGGTTGTAAATATCTTTTAGTTTGTGCCTTGTCCATTAACTTTATGATATTTTTTGTTGTACACAGTTTTTTTGTTTTAATGTTAATAGGTGTATTAATGTTTTACAGTTTTCGCTTTTAGTGTCTTTTTTTAATACTGTGTTGCTGCTTTTCATATCTGGATCTGTAATTTGGAGTTTATATATTGATTAATCCATCCTCTTGCACTTTTTTGGAATGAATCCTCTGTAAAACGCCAGGTTTCTGCGTGTGGGAGTCTTGCTGTGCTGTCTGTTATGTTCCATTGGTGTATTTGCTTGCCCTGCCCAATTTTGTTTCAATTACTGTTGCTTTATAAAGTCTTAAAATCTGATAGGGCAATAATCTCACTCTCTTCTTCAAGAGCCCCTCATGTGTCCTAAAGCCTTTGCTTTTATACACTTCATAATTCAGCTTGTTCAGCTCTGCTCTGTGAAGAGACTTTATTTTTATTAGAATTGTGTTAAATATATAGATTTACGTGGAACATTTAGGCATGATAATAAATTTTCCCCTTCATAAACAGTGTTTAGGGTTTCCATCCATCAATCAAGTTTTTATTTCTCTATAAAAAAATGTTTGGCATATCTTTTGCTCGATTTATTCTTAGGTACTCTGTAGTTTTTGTTGGTTTTATTATGGTGTATTTTTTTTAATCACACTGCCTAATAGATTGTGACTGGTGTGTAATAATGCTTTTGATTGTTAAGTGTTGGTATTTTATCATTAACCCTGCCAAACTCTCATATAGGCAATCATTTAGAATTCAATATACTTTTGTTTCTTTCTCATTTTTCCTCATCAAGTTATTGCACTGGCAATGTCTCTGCTATAGTATTTATGTTTTAACACCATAATCTTGTTCTTTAAAAAGGTAGAAAGTTCAGTAATTAATCATTAAGGTTTATATGAGTATCTCCAAAACCTATATAGATATAGATAAGATACTCTAAACTTTAACCAAGGTTTCTCCATCTTAGCACTGTTGACATCTGGGGTCAGATGATGTTTCTTTTTTGCGAAAACTGTCCTGTACATTACAGGATTTTTAGTGGATTCCTAGCCTCCCTACCTTTATGAAAACCAGAATACTACCAAATGTTTCCAAGGTGTGCAGTGTCCCACCTGGTTGAGAATTACTGACTCAAATCAATTAAGGATTAAGTTATTTTTTTACTCTGCTAAGTTTTTATCCTGAAAGGGTATTGAATTTTAACAGTATAGTTTCTGTATCTGCTGAGAATATCATTTTTTTCTCCTTTAATGTATTAATATAATTAGTTACATTATCATTTTCAAATGTTAATCTGTAGTACAATTTTATTAGTACACAGTTGTCTGAAAATTATGCAAAACCATGATACTTTTCTTCAATTTGAGTGGACGGGTGAACACTAAAACAATACAGTGCAAATTAGATCCCATGTTACAAATTGAATTTTAATTGCTATTAAAGCCTATTTTACCTATTTTGTAATACAGCTTGCCTGTTTTATAATGATCTGGCTTTAAATAATCAGTTTTGAGGTTTATTCTATTACTTTGAATAATCAGGTGTTATATGTACTTCTATAGAACAAATCACTTGTAAATTTATTAGATGACCAACTTATTTAAATATCAAATTAATAAAATAGAGTTTAACATTCTTCAATAAATAATGCATTTGCTTTAATTAAATGTATAACAAAGGAATAGGATGTTGATTATTTGTAAGTAGTGGGAATTTAGTGGCAGATCAGGTATGATTATTCATTCAGTTCTAAATGCTGTGTAAACATCTGCTTGTCTCTGCAATGGAAATAGGCTATGTCACCTTAAGTCCAGCTGCTAGTTTTCATCTGATATTCTCTTCAGTTCAGTCACTCAGTCGTGTCCGACTCTTTGCAACCCCATGGACTGCAGCATGCCAGGCTTCCCTGTCTATTACAAACTCCTGGAGCTTGCTCAAACTCATGTCCATCGAGTTGGTGATGCCCTCTAACAGCCTCATTCTCTGTCGTCCCTTTCTCCTCCTCCCTTCACTCTTTCCCAGCATCAGGAAAATATTCTCTTAGAAACTGTATTTATTCATAATCTTTGAACTAAAAGCAACTTTTCTGGTGGTGGTTTTAACATTACTATGGAAATGAAGCCACATGGAAGTAGAAATATTGTGATAATTTTAATAAACTTGAAGTGGAATTGCAATAATATCAATAAGAGGTGGAAAAATTATATTTCCAGTCATAAACTGTAAGTTGAATGGGTTTAGGTAGCAGTATAAGATAAACTTTGTCATAAACAGTTTAAAGAATTTTGCCTAAAATAATTTTTGCTACTTTTCTTTCCTCTTAACAGTCACGTTCTATATCTAGTTCCCCTGTGATGGTAGCTCAGCCCGTTTATCAGCAACCTGCATATCACTACCAGGTAAACATTAAATTACAATGCAAATCTTTGATAGTTTCAGCCTTTTTTGAATAACTTTCATTTTAGTCTTTCTCATGCAAATAAATACTCTCGTAATTTAAAAGAGGTAGTTAAGCCTTGATAGCAGTGATATTTTCTTTTTTTTTTAATGAGGGATCTAAATGTCACATAAGAAGATAGATCGTTCACTTATGCTGTTGTCATGTGTGACTCTTTGCCATCCTGTGGACTGCAGCACGCCTTGCTCCCCTGTCCTTCACTGTCTCCTGGGGTTTGCTCAGACTCATGTCCATTGAGTCAGTGATGCCATCCAACCACCTTGTCCTCTGCTGCCCTCTCCTTCTTTTGCCTTTAGTCTTCCCAGCATCAGGGTCTTTTCCAGTTAGTTGGCTCTTTGCATCAGGTGGCCAAAGTATTGGAACTTCAGCTTCAGCATCAGTCCTTCCAATAAAGGACCAATTTTTATCAAATGTAATAGGATCAGTTTTCCTCCCCTGGCTAACATAGAATAATTTCCGAGGTATTATGAAATACTGGACCACAGGCTGATTTTTTAAAATATTGTTATTATATCAGTTTCTAGTTATTATATTTAATAAATACATATCAAAATAAATAATACACTGTGACTTATATTATGACAACCTCTTTTAGTTAATCAGCATTCTTTTCATTAATTCTTATGGGAGGTTGAGGGTAAGTAAACTCTAATGCCAGACCATTTTGGTGTTTCGTAAATAAAATGTAATTGGAAAACAGCCATATTTGTTTACATAATTGTTTGTGGCTGTTTTGTGCTGCAGCAGAAGAGTTGAGTGGTTGCAACAGAGATATATGGCCTGCACGCTTGAAATATTTTCCCATTAGCCCTTTATAGAAAATGGTTACCTGCTTCTGGTCTGTAGCGTTCTCAGATAAAATCACAGTCTCTTATACCTTTGAAATAGTGGAGACTTTGTTTCTGGGTTTTTTTCTTTTTGAACTTTATTAGACCCACATGAAATATTATGGTTACTGAAATTATTTTTAATATTAGACTAGGTTTGGGGGAGTTGTTCTTAAATTCTGTTACTATGCTAAGTATAAAATTATCTAAAGTATTTTATTCACTTAGTAAAAATGAAAGTAAACTTGATGGCCTTTATTTAAAGTATATATGTAGCATGACTATTTCTTATTCACAATTTTGAGAGGCCCCAAAGACAACATTAGATACTAGGCCATTTAACAAGACAAACCAAAAGTCATGAAACCAGTTTTAGGACCCTTAGCTTATTGCCCACCTTGAGCACATGAGGATGTGCTCATTATTAACCACATCTTGAGGATGAAGTTAATAAAGAAGAGTGGTAATGAGGCTTTTTTAACAAGAGAGTTTTAGAGTACTATGGCATTTCCCATTCTCAACCAAGGGAACAGGACTTCAGAGAATGACTTAAGAGAGTTTAATATTTGTCCCCTGAAATTTGTGAGATAGAATCTTTTAGACCTGTGCACGCATGCTTGCTAAGTCACTTCAGTCATGTCCAACTCTTTGCGACCCTATGGACTATAGCCCGCCAGGCTCCTCTATTCATGGGGTTTCTCTGGACAAGAATACTGGAATGGGTTGCCATGCCTTCCTCTAGGTGATGTGGACTATGGAAGCAGAGCCAGAAAAGAAGGCTACAGGGGGAACATGTTGAACGTCTGACAGCAAGCAAAGTTTGTTTCCCAAGAGCAAGATAAGAACCTCACAGAAGAGAATCTTTCCAAAAAAGTATGAAGTGACCCCAGGAGAGAAAAAAATCTATGTGAAGTAGACCCCTAGAATCTAGGTCTAAAATTGTAGTCAGAAGTTCTCAGCAAGGACATCAACAAAGAAAAAAGTACCTGACAAAAGAGTCAGCATTTGGAATCTGTTAACATGCCAAAAAATAATTTTTCCTGATTTTTATCTGGAGGCTAGGAAAACCAGCTCAACACAGTGTTTTTTATTTGTCTGTTTACCCTTTGAAAAATTTGTTTTTTATTGAAGTATAGTTGATGTACAATATTAGCTTCAGGTGTACAACATAGTAATTCAAAATTTTTATAGATTTTACTCCATTTATAGTTGTTATAAAATATTATAATAACTTCCCTGGCGGCTCAGTGGTGGAGCGTTCACCTGCCAGTGAAGAGACACAGGTTCAGTCCCTCATGCGGGAAGTCCCCCGTGCCGTGGAGCAGCTGAGCCTGTGCACTACAGCTGCTGAGTCTGCGCTCTAGGGCCAGGGAGCCGCAACTGCTGAGCCCATACACCCAGAGCCTTTGCTCAGAACAAGAGGAGCCCCTCGGTGAGAAGCCCACGCACCCCAGCTAGAGACTGGCCCCCCTCACCTCAACCAGAGGAAGTCCGAGCATAGCAACAAAGACCCAGCACAGCCAAAAATAAATAAAATTATTTTTTAAATGTCTATATTCCATGTGTGGGCTTCTCAGGTGGCACTGGTGGTCAGGAACCTGACTGCCATTTCAAGAGAGCTAAGAGATGTGGGTTTGATCCTTGGGTTGAGAAGATCCCTTGGAGGAGGAAATGGCAACCCACTCCAGTATTCTTGCCTGGAGAACCCCATGAACAGAGAGGAGCTTGGCAGGCTACAGTCCATAGGGTCATAGAGTTGGACACAACTAAAGCAACTTTGCCTGTATGCAGACCCTGTATATCCTTGTGTTGTGTTAGTCGCTCAGTTGTGTCTGATCCCACGGACTGTGGCCCTCCAGGCTTCTCTGTCTGTGGGATTTTCCAGGCAAGAATACTAGAGTGGGTTGTCATTATATCCTTAAAACTTATTTATTTTAATATCTTGTACCTTTTAACCCCCCCTTTCTTTTTCCCTCCCCCTTCCCTCTCACCACTGGTAAACACTAGTTTTAACAAAATGCTTTTAAAGTGCCAGGGGTGAGAAAGATTGAAGTTACTTTCTGCTTGCACTCTGTGGAGTCCAGCTCCTACTCCATTAATTGATTACATATGTACATACATGACATAGATATATTCTGTAAAGTTTCTAATACAGTTTACTTTTATACTTTGGCTCTAATTTTTCACTTGACACAGATTACAAAACTGGAAGTATATTATCTAGATAAACTTGGGAAAGATTTTTGTACCAGTTTGTAACATATTTTTCAGTGTAAGAAATAATTTCACTTTGCATATTTCTTTCCAGTTATATATTTATTCATCATCATTCTCCCCTTAAAACTGCCACTTTGATAATCTCTTCCCTTGTTCTTTTTACAAATTCTGAAATTGATAGCTTTATCAGTTTTTGTTAGTCAAATCAGATAAGGACTGGTTCAGTCAGTATTTATCTCTTTCGTATTTCTCACTTCAGAAGAAGATAGTGATTTTATTTATGTAACAAATCTACACATTAATCATGTTATTTCAGATTTTTATTAAAATATTTTCTTAAGAGATTATCCTGCCTTTTTAAACATGGTATAAAGAACACAGACCTCACTTGGTTATCATATTGATGTCATCCATTAGCAGTTGATATGGTCTGCCTGAAATTAACCATTTCGATGGTAGATTCATGTAATCGTCTTATTTCCTGTCTTTTTTACTTTAATAATTAAAAAAGATGTTATTAAAGGTGGAAAATAAGGTAAAACATTTATTATTAAAGAATAATACAACTGATTTAAAAAATAAAAAGACGGTTGTCTTTTCTATTGTCATCTTACAATAAGTACCTTAAATAACTTGACTCTTTTTTTTAAATAAAGCTTTATTTAGCTATTTATATACCATATGCAATTCACCTTTTCCAAGAATACAACAGAATGCGTGCATTCTTTCTTAAGCAACTTACTTCAGCCATGTCTGACTCTTTGCGACCCTATGGACTTTAGATAGCCCACCAGGTTCCTCTGTCCATGGGATTCTTCAGGCAAGAATCCTAGAGTGAGTTGCCATGCCCTTCTCCAGGGGGTCTTCCTGACTCGGAGATCAAACCCACATCTCGTGTCTCCTGCATCAGCAGGCGGGTTCTTTACCTCTAGCGCCACCTGGGAAGCCAGTACAACAGAGTAGTTTTTACTAAATTTACAGTTTTGCTACCATACCCCGGGGGGTGAGAGGGGAGCTTTACCCATAGGTAGTCATTCCTCTTATCCCCTCCTCCCTGTCCTAAGCAACCAGTAATAGATCAGTACTTTCTGTCTTTATAGATCTGCCTTTCATGGACAGTATGTGGCTGTGAAACCACACTTTGTTCATCTGCTCATTTGTCAATGGACTTTGGGTTGTTTCCACCTTTCCTCTCTTACAGACAATGCTGATATGAACATTTGTGTACAGATTTTTTGTGGACTTATATTTTCGTTTCTCTTAGGTCTTGTATCTAAGAGTGGAATTGCTAAATCAATGGTATCTCTATATTTAACCTTTTAAGGATGTGTCAGACCCAAAAGGTTGCACCATTTTACAGTCCCAGCAGCAATTTATGAGGGTTTCTCCACATCTTTGCACACACTTATTACCTACTTTTTTTACTATAGCCGTACTAGTGTATGTGAAGTGATATCACAGTGTAGTTTTGATTTTCACTGTTGTTGCTGTTCAGTCACTAAGGAATGTCCAACTCTGCTTCCCCATGAACTGCAGCATGCCATGCTTCCCTGTCCTTCACCATCTCCCGGAGTTTGCTCAGAAACATGTGTCCATTGAGTCAGTGATGCCATCTATCTCATCCTCTGCCACTCTCCTCCTTTTGCCTTCAGTCTTTCCCAGCATCAGGGTCTTTTCTAGTGAGTCAGCTCTTTGCATCAGGTGGCCTAAGTATTGCAGCTTCAGTTTCAGCATCAGTCCTTCCAATGAATATTCTGGGTTGATTTCCTTTAGAATTGGCTGGTTTGATCTCCTTGCAGTCCAGGGGACTCTCAAGAGTCTCCCCCAGCACCACAATCGAAAGCATCAATTCTTTGGCGCTCAGCCTTCTTTATGTCCCAATTCTCACATCCATACACAACTACTGGGAAAACCATAGCTTTGACTATACAGAACTTTATCAGCAAAGTGATGTCTTTACTTTTTCATATGCTGTCTAGGTTTGTCATAGCTTTTCTTCCAAGGTGCAAGAGTCTTAATGTCATGGCTACAGTCACCATTCACAGTGATTTTGAAGCCGAAGAAAGTAAAGTCTATTATTGCTTCCACTTTTTCCCTCTTCTATTAGCCATGAAGTAATGGGACTGGATGTCATGATCTTAGTTCTTTGATTGTTGAGTTTTAAGCCAGCTTTTCCCCTCTCCTCTCATCCTCTATCGTGAGGCTCTTTAGTTCCTCTTCACTTTCTGCCATTAGAGTGGTATCATCTGTATATATGAGGTTATTGATATTTCTCCCGGCAGTCTTAATTTCAGCCTGTAATTCATCCAGCCTGGCATTTCGCATGGTGTACTTTGCATATAAGTTTAAATGATCGGTGTGACAATATACAGCCTTGTTGCACTCCTTTCCCAATTTTGAACTAGTCTGTTGTTCCATGTCCAGTTCTAACTGTTGCTTCTTGACCCACATACAAGTTTCTCAAGAGACAGGTAAGGTGGTCTGGTATTCCCATCTCTTTAAGAATTTTCCAGTTTGTTGTGATCCACACAGTCAAAGGCTTTAGCATAGTGAATGAAGCATAAGAAGATGTTTTTCTGAAATTCACTTCCTTTCTCCATGATCCAGCAAATGTTGAGAATTTGATCTCTGGTTCCTCCGCCATTTCTAAACCCAGCTTGTACATTTGGAAATTCTCAGTTCACATAGTGCTGAAGCCTAGCTTGAAGGATTTTTCACACTAGCATGTGAAATGAGCGCAGTTGTATGGTAGTTTGAACATTCTTTGGCACTGTGCTTCTTTGGGAGGGGAATAAAACTGACATTTTCCAACCCTGTGGCTGCTGCTAAGTTTTCCAAATTTGCTGACACATTGAGCGCGGTACTTTAACAACATCATTTTAGGATTTTAAATAGCTTGGCTAGAGTTCCATTACCTCTGCTAGCTTTGTTTGTAGTAATGCTTCATAAGGCCCACTTGACTTCACACTCTAGAATATCTGGCTCTAGGTGAGTGACCACACCATCGTGGTTATCCTGGTCGTGAAGACCTTTTTTTGTATAGTTCTGTGTATTCTTGCCACCTCTTAATCTCTTCCGCTTCTGTTAGGTCCTTAATGTTTCTGTCCTTTGTTGTCCCTATCTTTGCATGAAATGTTGCCTTGATAAATCTCCAGTTTTCTTGAAGAAATCTCTAGTCTTTCCCATTCTGTTGTTTCCCTCTACTTCTTTGCATTGTTCATGGAAGAAGTCCTCCTTATCTCTCCTTGTTATTCTCTGGAACTCTGCATTCAGTTTGGTTTATCTTTCCCTTTCTTCCTTGCTTTTTGCTTCTCTTCGTTCCTCAGCTATTTGAAAAGCCTCATCAGACCACCACTTTGCCTTCTTGCATTTGTTTTTCTTTGGTATGGTTTTGGTCACCACCTCCTATACAGTGTTGGAAACCGCTGACCATAGTTCTTCAGGCACTCTGTCTGCCATATCTAATCCCTTTAATCTGTTCATCACCTCCACTATATAATCATAAAAGATTTGATTTAGGTCATACCTGAATGGCCTAGTGGTTTTCCCTACTTTTTTCAATTTAAGCCCGAATTTTGCAGTAAGGAGCTGATGATCTGAGCCATAGTCTGTTCCTGGTCTTGTTTTTTTGCTGACTGTATAGAGCTTCTCCATCTTTGGCTGCAAAGAGTATAATCAGTCTGATTTCAGTGATCATCTGGCACTGTCCATATGTAAAGTCGTCTCTTGTGTTGTTGGAAAGGGGTGTTTGTTACACCCAGTGTGTTCTCTTGATAAAACTGTTAGTCTTTGCCCTGCTTCATTTTGTACTCCAAGGCCTAACTTGCCTATTATTCCTGGTTATCTCTTGACTTCCTACTTTTGCATTCCAATCTCCTATGATGAAAAGACAGCCTTTTTTTTTTTTTTTGCTGTTCTAGAAGGTCTTGGAGGTCTTCATCAGACCAGTTAACTTCAATTTTCTCAGCATCGATGGTTCAGGCACTGTGGTGTTCAATGGTTTGCCTTGGAAACAGACTGAGATTATTATGTCGTTTTTGAGATTGTACCCAAGTAGTGCATTTCAGACTCTTTGTTGGCTATGAGGGCTATTCCATTTCTTCTAAGGAATTCTTGCCCACAGCAGTAGATAACAATGGTCATCTGAATCAAATTCGCCCATTCTCATCCATGTTAGTTCACTGATTCCTAAAATGTCGATGTTCACTTTTGCCATCTCCTGCTTGACCATGTCCAGTTTACCTTGATTTATGGATCTAACATTCAAGAGGTTTCTATGCGATATTGTTCTTATGGCATCAGACTTTCTTTTCACCACCAGACACATCCACAACTGGCGTCATTTCTGCTTTGGCCCAGCCTCTTCCTGCTTCTGGAGCTGTCTCCCTGCTCTTCCCCGGCAGCACATTGGACGCCTGCAGACATGGGGGAACTCGTTTTCCGGTGGTGTATCTTTCTGCCTTTTCATACTGCTCATGGGGTTCTCACAGCAAGAATACTGGAGTGGCTTGTCATTCCCTCCTCCAGTGGATCCTGTTTTATCAGAACTCTTTACTGTGACCCATCCGTCTTGGGTGGCCCTGCCCTGCATGGCTCATGGTTTCACTGAGTTACTCAAGCCCCTTCATTACAAGGCTGTGATCTATGAAGAGGCTTACAAGGCAAATGATGCTGAATATCTTTTAGATGCTTATTGATGGTTTTTGTGTATTTTCTTTGCAATAATGTCTGTTCATATCCTTAACCAATTTTTATATTGGGTTAAGTGATTCTTAAGTGAAAGTCACTCAGTCGTATCGGACTCTGCAACCCCCTTGGAATTCTCCAGGCCAGAATACTGGAGTGGGTAGCCTTTTCCTTCCCCAGGGGATCTTCCCAACCGAGGGATTGAACCCAGATCTCCTGCATTGCAGGCAGATTCTTTACCAGCTGATCCACAAGGAAAGCCCTTATATTGGGTTACTTGCCTTTTATTATTGAGCTATATGGTTTCTTTGCTTAGATACAAGTTCCTTATCAGATAATAATTTGTAAATATTTTTTCCAGTCTTGTGGTTTATTTTCACCTCCTTGATGGTGTCTTTTGCAGCACAAAAGTTTTTCATGTTAGTGAAATCCAGTTTATCTTTTTTTCTCTTATTATTTTGTTTCCTGTACTTTTGATGTCATATTTTTTTTTAATCTCCTGGTTCAAATTCACAAAGATTTACATCTGTGTTTTCTTCTAAGAGTTTTGTAGTTTTAGCTCTTACATTTCTATCTTTTATCCATGTTGGGTTAATTTTTGTATATGGTTTGAGGTATAGGGGTTCAACTTCATAGCTTTTGCAGGTAGATATTCAGTTTAACCCTTGTTTACAATCTGGTGGGGTTTTTTTGTTGTTTTTTTGTTTTTTCGTTTTAGGCCCCTGCACAGTGTCTACCAGGTCAATGGCAGTGGAATGTTCCTCAGGTAAATACTAACTTTTAACTTTTTTCACTGTTTTTGTGAAGACTGCACGAATATTTAAGTCAGAAAACTAGATTTGAGACCTTCCTCTAGTATTTATTAACAGTGATACTGATTTACTAACTTATTTGGCAGTTCATTTATTCACTATATTTCTCAGCTTTTTCATTTCAAATGGAACTAATGATACCATACCTTGGAAAGTTTTCTCACATGACTTTTGTAAAGATCAAATGAGACCATGTAAGTAAAAGTATTTCATAAACAAGTGCTATGTTATTAATATTAGAATATTTAGCATTTTTCTAGCTTCACTTCAGATTTTGCTTCAGCTTTATTTATGTTTCTAAATGAAGATTCCATCTCTCAACTTCTGATAACAAATGGTACACCACCAGAAAGTTCGTTAGACAAGCCCCACTCATGGGACGTCAGAAAGCTGAGATGAGGCATTTGTTGTTCAGTCTCTCAGTCAGTCCTGGGCTTGAAACTCTGTGGACTGCAGCGTGCCAGGCTCCCTGTCCTTCACCAGTTCCCGGAGCCTGCTCAAACTCACGCCCATTGAGTCAGCGATGCCATCCGACCATCTCATCCTCTGTCATTCCGTTTTCCTCCTGCCTTCAATCTTTCCCAGCATCAAGGTCTTTTCCAGTGAGTTGGCTCTTCCCATCAGATGGCCAAAGGATTAGAGCTTCAGCTTCAGCATCAGTCCCTCCAGTGAATATTCAGGATTTATTTCCTTTATTTGACTGGTTTGATCTCCTTGCAGTCCAAGGGACTCTCAAGAGTTTTCTCCAGCACCACAGTTCAAAAGCATCAATTCTTCGGTGCTCAGCCTTCTTTATGGTCCAACTTTCATTCGTACATGACTACTAGAAAAACCATAGCTTTGACTAGATGGACCTCTGTTGGCAAAGTAAATTCTCTTGTTTTTAATATGTTGTCTAGGTTGGTCATAGCTTTTCTTCCAAGGAGCAAGCATCTTTTAATTTCATGGCTGCAGTCACTATTCACAGTGATTTTTGTAGCCCAAGAAAATACAGTCTGATACTGTTTGCATTATCTCCCCATCTATTTGCCATGAAGTAATGGGGCCAGATGCCATGATCTTTGTTTTTTGAATATTGAGTTTTAAGCCAGTTTTTTCACCCTCCTCTTTTACCTTCATCAAGAGGCTCTTTCATTCCTCTTCGCTTTCTGCCATAGGGGTGGTATCATCTGCATATCTGAGATTGTTGGCAATCTTGATTCCAGCTTGTGCTCCGTCCAGCCCAGCATTTTGCATGATTTTCTCTGCATATGTTAGATAAGCAGGGTGACAATATACAGCCTTGATATACTCCTTTCCCAATTTTGAACCAATTTGTTGTTCTCTGTCGTTAAAACTGTTGCTTCTTGACCTGTATACAGGTTTCTCAGGAGGCAGGTAAGGTGCTCTGGTATTCCCATCTCTTTAAGATTTTTCCACAGAGTTGTTGTGATCCACATAGTCAAAGGCTTTAGCATAGTCAATGAAGCAGAAGTAGATGTTCTTCTGGAATTCTCTTGCTTTTTCTATGATCCAACAGATGTTGGCAATTTGATCTCTGGCTCCTCTGCCTTTTCTAAATCCATCTTAAACATCTGGAAGTTCTCCATTCACGTAGTGTTGAAGCCTGTTGGAGAATTTTGAGTATTACTTTGCTAGCATGTGAAGTTAATGCCAATTTAAATACCATAGATTATATTATCAGAACCTTTAATAGTTATCTTAATGACTGTCTTAAATTATTTATGAGCTTCTAAAGTGCTGAGAACTTTTTAGTACTTATAAGTGATAAATAAGTGATTTTATAATATATACATAATTGGAGTTTATAGCAACATAGAGTTCCTAGTTTGTTGTTAAGATACTTCTGTGTTGTCCCTAAACACAACTTTAGGAAAATGTGAAACCAATATTCCTCTCATGTGTTGGGTAAGTCATTTGGTTTAACTGAAATAACTAACCCGATTTTAATTAGAAACGTGATTTTATATTTTAGTCTCCTGCCTCTTCTGCTCCATTCTTGTACCTGCAACCTTCTGAGGTCATTTATCAACCAGTGGAAATTGCACAGGAAGGTGGATGTGTTCCTCCTCCTCCTCTGTCTCTGATGGAAGCTTCAGTTCCAGAGGTATGTGTTAGTCTCACACAAAGTAATATATCCATAACCACTTCATTTTAACATTTATTTCTTTTCCTTTTCTAAAAGTATTTGTTCGAGACCCTCCTTGAAGTTGAACATCTTATGTTTTCTTTGATCTGTTCACATCTCTTCCCCTTTTTTATATCTAAGAATACTTCATCTTAGACTTCTTCACTATTTCTGAATCATTCCTCAACTCAACTGTTTACTAGACTATCCCTGACTCAGTCCCCTTGAAAGAGTAAGATAAGTGCTTCTCTTTCTTCTGGTTTGCCTGTCTTATTACTAACACTGTGAGTTAAAAGCATATAAAAATTAAAGAAGAAAAAAATCTTTAAAATTCTTCCTTCAAAGATGTAAATCAAATTTATAACTAAAAACTGTAAATATTATCTTCCATGTGTTTATATTTGCAAACCATTACTAATAACCTCATCATCTGTGTACCAGGAACTGTACATGGTATGTTTTAAATATGTTTTGAAAGACTGGGAAATAAATAACAACCTCCCAATTTGAGTGTATTTATTTTTATTATTCTGGAGAAGGAAATGACAACCCACTCCAGTACTCTTGCCTAGAAAATTCCATGGATGGAGGAGCCTGGTGGGCTACAGTCCATGGAGTTGCAAAGAGTCGGACGTGACTGAGCGACTTCACTTTCACATTATTATTATTATTACTAAAGTTTATAACATAATTTTTCTGAAAGAGCAGCTTCCACAGTTTTGAATCTTAAGTATTTACTATCAATACTTTTACTATGATTTCTCCATTCTTCATCTCACCCTCCATTTATCACTCTGTTGACTGAATCTGCAAGCACTCTATTAAAGAAGGCTTATGTGTGCTATACTCTCTTGAGTTATTACATGCTTGTGTGTTCAACATATTTGTTGTCTATAAATCTGGAAGAAACTAAGACTAACTATAAAATAGCTGTATCATACTTGTATAACTTTGCTAAGGCTCCCTGAACAAAGTACAGTGAACTGGATGGCTTAAAAAGAGAAATTTATTGTCTCATAGTTGTGGAGTCTAGAAGTCCAAAATCAAGGTGTTGGCAGAGTTGGTTTCATCCGAGGACTTTGAGAGAAGAACCTAGTCCAGGCCTTTCTTCTTGGCCTATCGATGACCATCCTCTCCTTGTGTCTTCAAATTGTCCTTCCTGTCTCTGTGTCCAAGCTTCCCACTTTTATAAAGATACCAGTCATTTTGGGTTAGGTTCCACTCTAATGACCATACTTCAGTTTACTCACTTCTGTAAAGACCCTCTCTCCAAATAAGGTCAGTCTCTGACATAGTGGTTAGGACTTCAACACAGAAGTCTTCAGAGAACACAGTTCAACCCATAACAATGCTTTTTTCTCTTATAACGTCTAATCTACTCTTTTCTGGTGTTGAGTATAGTTGTAAAGAAGTTTGAAGCCAGCCTGACTTTCCCTCTTATACGTAATTTGCTTTTTCTTCCTTTGTGCCTGAAGTCTGTCTTAACTTGAAATCACTTTACCAGGATATGTCTTGAAATTTGTCAATCTTTAAAATATTTTTCCTGGGACACAGTTTGCTCCTTTGATTCTCAGACTAGTTTTTAATTTCAAGGCTTCTTTTTTCCTGTTAGAACTTTGAAAAAAATTTTTGTATTCCAGTTCTTTTACTACTTCTTCAGGAATACCATTTATGCATATGTTGAGATCTCTTTTTATCTTTCATATCCATCATCTCTGAGATAATTTCTTTTATCATAGTAATTTTTAATGTTTTATATGCTTTTTTGAGACAGTCATGAATATTTTTCATTGTTTTTAGTCTACTTTTTCTTATGACTAATGAAACTTTCATTTCTGTTTTATTTTTATCTTCTTTTTATCCCAAACTGCCACTTTGCTTACATCATTGCCTGTAAATGTTGTCTGTTGGCTTAAAATCTCTTTTTGAAGCTCTTTTTTAGTGATCATCTTATTGTAATTTCTTTAAGATCAAAAGAATTTTATTTATTTGAACTTTTCTACTATTTTCTGGGATGATTTCTCGTCTTTTTCTTTTTTCCCCCTTTTTGCTTTTCCCTTGATAGAGTTGGAGACGATGAGAAGTGTCCTAAGGTTGCTTACTTTTCCTTCCCATCATATCTTTTAAATGAGACCAGCTTTTTGCTGAAATACAAGGTGGGATAAGCATTCTGTTGACTCAAACATCCTACCACCAAGTCTGTTACATTACCTGCTTGAGATGTTCTTCCCTGAGTTTTTAAGCATTCTGGAGTTCATTTGGCTCCTGGCAAAGTCTCTTTTTTCAGAGATTTTGTGTATGAAGGTGTAGTAAGTGTTACTTCACTTTCCACTCTTAACCTTCTTCATCTCCAGCAGTGTTCCTCAGCTGTAATATCAGGTAGTAGACCACAAAATAGTGAAAATACGATTTCTCCCTCTCTGTGGGAGATCTTTCCTGCTTCTGCCTTGGTCTGACACACCCCTACACTTAAGGCTCTAAAGAGTCTTTAAATAGGCCTTTCAGGGAAATCTATAACCTTCCTCAGGCTTCAGAATCCTCCCTTATATTGATGCAAATTGCATAGCATTTGGCAGGCTTTCTGCACTACGAACAAAGCTAGTGGAGGTGGTGGAATTCCAGTTGAGCTCTTTCAAATCCTAAAAGATGATGCTGTGAAAGTGCTGCACTCAATATATCAGCAAATTTGGAAAACTCAGCAGTGGCCACAGGACTGGAAAAGGTCCATTTTCTTTCCAATCCCAAAGAAAGGCAATGCCAAAGAATGCTCAAACTACCACACAGTTGCACTCATCTCACACGCTAGTAAAGTAATGCTCAAAATTCTCCAAGCCAGGCTTCAGCAATACGTGAACTGTGAACTTCCAGATGTTCAACCTAGATTTAGAAAAGGCAGAAGAACCAGAGATCAAATTGCCAACTTTCGCTGGATCATCAAAAAAGCAAGAGAGTTCCAAAAAAACATCTATTTCTGCTTTATTGACTATGCCAAAGCCTTTGACTGTGTGGATCACAATAAACTGTGAAAAATTCTGAAGGAGATGGAAATACCAGACCACCCAACCTGCCTCTTGAGAAACCTGTATGCAGGTCAGGAAGCAAGTTAGAACTGGACATGGAAAAACAGACAGGTTCCAAATAGGAAAAGGAGTACGTCAAGGCTGTATATTGTCACCCTGCTTATTTAACTTATATGCAGAGTACATCATGAGAAACGCTGGGCTGGAGGAAGCACAAGCTGGAATCAAGATTGCCAGGAGAAATATCAATAACTTCAGATATGCAGATGACACCACCCTTATTGCAGAAAGTGAAGGAGAATTAAAGAGCCTCTGGATGAAAATGAAAGAGGAGAGTGAAAAAGTTGTCTTAAAACTCAACATTCAGAAAACTAAGATCATGGCATCCGGTCCCATCACTTCATGGCAGATAGATGCGGAAACAGTGGCTGACTTAATTTTTGGGGGCTCCAAAATCACTGCAGATGGTGACTGCAGCCATGAAATTAAAAGACGCTTACAGCTTCGAAGGAAAGTTATGACCAACCTAGATAGCATATTAAAAAGCAGAGACATTACTTTGCCAACAAAGGTCTGTCTGGTCAAGGCTATGGTTTTTCCAGTGGTCATGCATGGATGTGAGAGTTGGACAATAAAGAAAGCTGAGCGCCAAAGAATTGATGCTTTTGAACTGTGGTGTTGGAGAAGACTCTTGAGAGTCCCTTGGACTGCAAGGAGATCCAACCAGTCCATCCTAAAGGAGATCAGTCCTGGGTGTTCATTGGAAGGACTGATGTTGAAGCTGAAACTCCAATCCTTTGGCCACCTCATGCAAAGAGTTGACTCATTTGAAAAGACCTTGATGCTGGGAAAGATTGAGGGCAGGAGGAGAAGGGGACGGCAGAGGATGAGATGGTTTGATGGCATCACCAACTCAATGGACATGGGTTTGGGTAGACTCTGGCAGTTGGTGATAGATTGGGAGGCCTGGGCTTGCTGCGGTTCACGGGGCCACAAAGAGTCAGACACAGCTGAGCAACTGAACTGAACTGAACTAAACTACCTTATCATTTGGGATCCATGAGCACTTCCGTGTTTACTTGATGATGGCATTTTTTAAATCTATCTTTTGTTCTTTTTGTTGTTTTCTGATTTTCAAGGAGGGTGACAGTGAGTTAAGAATGATTTACATTATGTTTTTAGCCATTATCGGTACTGAACCATAGTCTTGATGTCGACATCAGATAACTTACCAAGTTATGTTTCACTGTTTAGTGGAATCTAATAAGATTTTTCTGGAAATATTACATGTTAACTTACAACTTGTGCCATGCCATTAATTTTTATGATATTTCAATACACAATGATTTAAGCATATTTTTAATTTAATATTGTTTCTGGCAAAAGATATATGCCTAATATATAAGTTAATTGAATGGATTGGTTTATATTTTAAGTGTTTTTTCCTCTAAAGTTAAAAAACACAGGGCTTGTTCTTATGAGTTTGATAGTTAGGTCTCCTAAAATATAAAAATAAATTAAAATTATTTCTCACTTATTTCAATGACTATTTCCCCCTTCACTCTTAGCATATAGTGCCTTCTACTTCACAGAATAAGTAGAAACCACTTTGTGGAAACCAACTCAGCTTCTAGTCCCCAACATACAAACTTACCTGACTTGTAACTCATACTTAGCTTCTTACATTTTTTTAGTAACCTATCTTGTTCAAAGTTATTTCTACTCTTTGCTCTTGAAACTGTGACTTCCCTACTCCTCAGGGACCTCATTCCACCTCATTCCTTCTTTTCTTATGTATTTTAAGACATTTTCTCTCCATTGGTTCAAAGCTTTACCTAGTATTTACTAGTATGTTACTTTGAGTAATTACTTAACTCTTCACAGTGTTGGTTTCATAATATCTACATTAATATAATAAAGACATTAGGAAAATCTATTTTTCAGGATTGATGCAAAGATGAGAATTGTTGTATACAAGGTTTCTTGCTGTAGTGCCCAACACCTGGTAGGAGACAGTTACTGTCCTGTGACGCACCCCCACAAATGCCCTTATTCTCTTCTACCTTTCAAAGCCAAGCTTGAAAAAAGTGCATGTTCAGTTGTGTCCAACTCTTTGCAACCCTGTGGACTGTAGCCTCCTCTGTCCATGGGATTTTCTAGGCAAGAATACTGGAGTGGGTTGCCATTTCCTCCTCCAAGGGATCATCCTGACCCAGGGATGGAACCCAGCTCTTCCGTGTCGTCTGTGTTGACAGGCAGACTCTTTACCACTGAGCCACCTGGGGAGCCCTTAAAAGAAGCAGTCTACATTTAATATTTCCACTGCCTGCCTCGCTGTCCTCCCCTCACCTGCTAGGGTCCGCTTCATTGCCTTCTGCGGAAGCTACCTTTGATAAAGGTCCTCAATGACTCCCTGATTGCCAGACGTTTTCCTTTTCTTTTCAGTCTCACTTGACCTCTCAGAGACATTGGATATACTCCTTGAAATTCTTCCTACCTTTGGCTTCCATGATACTGCTCTCTTCTGGCAATCCTTTTACCTCCTCTTATCTTCCTACGTAAGCTTATCTTTTTCTCCCCATGATTTCTTTTTTGATTCTTCAGTCTTTCACCCTACATACTCACTCTGATGTTATCATCCATACTCATGTCTCTAGCCCCTGCCTCACTTCTGAATTTTACACCTGCACTGTTCAGTACAACAGTAGCCATTACCACCTGCAGCTATTGAAATGTGGCTAGTCAGAATTGAGGTGTCTTGTGAGTGCAAAATACACACCAGGTTTTAATGACATAGTGTGAAAAATGAATGTAAAATTTATCACTGACTTTATGTTGAGTACACTCTGATATATTCTTAATATGTTTAAATAAAATCTATTACTGTAAATTAATTTTACTTGTTTCTTTTTACTTTTCTAACATGGCTACTGGAAATTTTTCAGTTTTATTGAGGTATAATTGACATACAGCAGTGTGTAAGCTTAAGATGTACAGCATAATGAGTTGATTCATACATACCACTAAATGATTATCACAACAAGCTTGGTGAACACCCATCATCACATACAAAATTAAAGAAATAGGAAAAATTTGTATGTGATGAGAACTCTTAGGATTTACTCTCTTGACAACTTTCCTATATAACATCCAGCAGCGTTAATTATATTTATCATGTTGTACATTACACCCCTAGTACTTACTTAGCTATAACTGGAAGTTTGTACCTTCTATCTGAATTATAATTAACATTTAGTTCACATTTTTCTTAGTGCTTCTTTAGAACCATCCAGCTTTTGATTGACTATATACCTGTAATGGAACTCCTACGAACACCTCAAATTTTATGTGTTACAAACTTAACTTCTCTCTAACCTCCACACAATTACACAAACATCAAACTTGCTTTTCTTTTATTCCGTATATCAGTGAATGGTACCACCATCTGTTGGACAAGCCATTAATCTGCTTTCACATGATCTCTTTCCTGTTACTCTCCTGCCTCACCTTTCAGCTGTCAGTCACTGTGTGTTCCTCCTTCCAGCAATACCAAACAGCATACACAGATACAGTTGCCTCTACCTTTGCATATACTACTCCTACCTCATTCCCTAGTTTTTCAAATTCTAGCATAAACCCCACTAGAAAACGTCCCCTGACCACCTCCCCAACTTTCTAAAGCTACATTGTTTTCTTTTCCCCGTGCATCCCTATTCATGTGTCACAGGACTTTGTTTTCCCCCATACATCTCTATGCAAAATGTCATACATTTTGACTAGTCTGTCCCAGATCAGTCTATAATTAAAGATAGAGAATGTGTTTCTCATATGTGTTTCTCCATTGTGTAGAAAATGCCTAGAAAATTGTAATACTGAATAAATATTTTTAATTAATGAAAAGCAATATTTTTTCTTTTTTTTAATTTTAGCCTTATTCTGATCATGGAGTTCAAGCAACATATCACCAGGTTTATGCTTCAAGTGCCATTGCTATGCCTGCACCAGTGATGCAACCTGAACCAATCAAAGTAAGAAGCTTGTTTTGATTTTTGTTGTTGTTCTTAAGTCATATATCACATTTTCCAAATTCTCTTCTGAAAAGAAACAACTTTGGATATTTATATCTCATTTGTGATCTGAAGTACAGAATTAATGAATTCTTTCATATGAAGGAAATACAGTTCTAAATTGGCTATAATTTCTGTTACTTTGGGGGAGAGAGAAGAATAGAAAGTTAATGCTTAATCAGTACAGAGTTTCTATTTAGGGTGATGAAAAGGGCTTCCCTGATGGCTCAGATGGTAAAGAAGTGGGCTGGGAAAACTGGTCAACCACTTGTAAAAGAATGAAACTAGAACACTTTCTAACACCATACACAAAAATAAACTCAAAATGGATTAAAGATCTACATGTAAGACCAGAAACTATAAAACTCCTAGAGGAGAACATAGGCAAAACACTGTCCGACATAAATCACAGCAGGATCCTCTATGACCCACCTCCCAGAATATTGGAAATAAAAGCAAAAATAAATAAATGGGACCTAATTAAACTTAAAAGCTTTTGCACAACAAAGGAAATTATAAGCAAGGTGAAAAGACAGCCTTTAGAATAGGAGAAAATAATAGTAAACGAAGCAACAGACAAAGGATTAATCTCAAAAATATACAAGCAACTCCTGCAGCTCAATTCCAGAAAAATAAATGACCCAATCAAAAAATGGGCCAAAGAACTAAACAGACATTTCTCCAAAGAAGACATACAGATGGCTAACAAACACATGAAAAGATGCTCAACATCACTCATTATCAGAGAAATGCAAATCAAAACCACAATGAGGTACCATTACACGCCAGTCAGGATGGCTGCTATCCAAAAGTCTACAAGCAATAAATGCTGGAGAGGGTGTGGAGAAAAGGGAACCCTCTTACACTGTTGGTGGGAATGCAAACTAGTACAGCCGCTATGGAGAACAGTGTGGAGATTTCTTAAAAAACTAGAAATAGAACTGCCATATGACCCAGCAATCCCACTCCTGGGCATGCACACCAAGGAAACCAGATCTGAAAGAGACACGTACACCCCAGTGTTCATTGCAGCACTGTTTATAATGGCCAGGACATGGAAGCAACCTAGATGCCCATGAGCAGACGAATGGATAAGGAAGCTGTGGTACATATACACCATGGAATATTACTCAGCCATTAAAAATAATTCATTTTAATCAGTTCTAATAAGATGGATGAAACTGGAACCCATTATACAGAGTGAAGTAAGCCAGAAAGAAAAAGACCATACAGTATACTAATGCATATATATCGAATTTAGAAAGATGGTAACGATAAGCCTATATGCAAAACAGAAAAAGAGACACAGATGTACAGAACAGACTTTTGGACTCTATGGGAGAAGGCGAGGGTGGGATGTTTTGAGAGAACAGCATCGAAACATGTATATTATCAAGGGTGAAACAGATCACCAGCCCAGGTTAGATGCATGAGACATGTGCTTGGGGCTGGTCCACTGGGAAGACCCAGAGGGATGGGGTGGGGAGGGAGGTGGGAGGGGGGATCGGTGTGGGGAATACATGTAAATCCATGGCTGATTCATGTCAATGTATGGCAAAAACCACTACAATATTATAAAGTAATTAGCCTCCAACTAATAAAAATAAATGGAGGGAGAAAAAAAAAAGAATTCTCCTGCAATACAGGAGGTCTGAGTTTAATCCCTGGGTTGGGAAGATCTCCTCAAGAAGGAAATAGGTACCCACTCTAGTATTCTTGCCTGGAGAATTCCATGAACAAAAGAGCCTGGCAGGCTACAGTCCATGGGGTCACAAAGAGTTGGACAGGACTGAGAAACTTTCACTTCACTTCACTTCTGTTAGTTTTGAAGAAGTTATAAACCACACATGGTCAAAAGTTTTCATTTACTGTAGAATAAAACATATATGACTTAAGATCTTCCATTTTTTAAATATACAACTAAGTGGTATTAATTATATCCACATTGCTATGCAACTATAGTCACCAATATCTAGTTCCAAACTTTGTCATCACCCCAAATAGAAACTCTGTACCCATTAGGCAGTAACTTTCTCTTCTTCTCTCTCTCCAGTCCCTGTTAACTTCTAATCTCCTGTCTGTAATTTGCCTAGATATTCCATAGATCAGAGTTTTATTATGTTAGTGACGTGTAACGTTTACAGGGAAATGAAAATAGTTACAATGATCTACTCTTCCAGTTTGGGAATTGTGCTCATGCATCCTAAACTATATCCAGGCCAAGAGTGGTAATGTAGTTAGATCCCTTTATATATTTAGTATATTTCAACTGCCTTATCCTGCTTCTTCCCATGTGACCTAGGTTCTTAGTGAAACTCTTGCATCTTCATTTTTGGGAAAAGTGACTATATCTAGTAAAGAACCCAAACTGATTAACTGTTATGATATGACTCTTGCTTGCAGTATATTCTTTACAATAAAATGATGGAGGTTAGCTGTTTCCCACTCATATTTTTGCTTCTGACCCATCCCGTATGTTGGAACTCAGTCTACTTTAAGGAGCCCCCACAGTCCTTGAAACCCCCTCTCCCCTTTACTGCATTTCTTCTTTGATGTTGCTGCCGAACTGCAGACATGAATTAAAACCATAATTTTGACCTAGTGCCAAAGCCTAAAGTGTTAGTAAATTTTATTTATAGGAAGTTGATCATAGAATCAAAATCATCTAAAGCAAACTTATAATGTTGATACTTCTCCAGATATACCTCTCTTAAAATTAAAATAGCTATGCCATATTAGATAATCAGTTGCAGATTATATATTACATACACACACATTTTATATATGTGTGTGTATGTATATATATACACATACAAATGATTGAAGTTGTACTTGTTGAATAATTCCAATAGAGGATAGAGTGGTAGTCAGGAGAAATTTCTAAAGAATATAAATGTTAAATATTCTTGATTTAAAGTTTTATTCTTCTAGTTTAAGAGTGTATCCTTTTCTGTATTTTCTTAAATGTGTGACTAGGAAATGCAGAAATTGTGCAGAGAAAATGTTATCTTACTCTTTATTATATAAAATTATATAAATGTTAAATATAAATCATAACAGAGGTATAAATAAATACCTTTCTTTGTGCATATAAGCATAAAACTAGAATCAGAAACTTGCCTGTTGCATGACTAGAGAAATTCTGCTAAGAGGAACTTTACCCTTTCTATCCTGTCTTAGATCTTTGCCCTACTATATCACAGGCTAGAGGGGAACACAATCACTGACTTGTTTCTATTTTTACTTAATCCATCTTGTTAAGGCTTATAGTAATTCTGGTTATCACATGGGATACAGCCTAGGGAAGATTTTGGTACTGCAAAGTTAAGATTTCAGGACTTGGTAAGAGTTGAAGAGCTATGAACTGTTGTAGTTAACTAGCTTACTCCAAAGCCCACATCTCACACAACTGTAATTAGGCGTCCTCAAATCTGAGCTATCATGGATTATCATTTTATATATCACTATGAAAGAAGAAAACCATGTATCCTGATGCAGGGTTTTTGAAACATGAAAAGATGTTAATCTCAGAATTAATGGGGTTTGGCATGTTTTATTTTTATTTACTTATTTACTTTTATTCTTTGGCTGTGCCACACATAGGATCTTAGTTCCCTGATCAGGGATCAAACTCATATCCCCCTTCATTGGAAGCACAGACTCTTAACCACTAGACCACCAGGAAAGTCCCTGGCAAGTTTTGTTTTTAATTTAGAGCTGCAGGATCATAGGAAGCCTGAGTTGAGCAGAAAAAAACCCACAATTTCTCTTTTTTTAGAGATAAAGGGAAAAAGAAAATTCAATTAAATAAACTTCAGAATCAAAACTGGAACACAGGGGTTTTGTACATCCTGTTTTATCTTTCATGGTTGAATGTTTTATGTATCTTACACTCAATATTCTTCTTTAGGTGATTTGATGGCACTCAATAGAAAATGGTGCCCCATTCAGGAACAGAAAGTCCAATTCTATAGTTTTCTAAAACTATACAACTTTGTAAAAATACTTCACTGTACAAGTTTTACTGTGTGGAAAATTATCTATTTTTGTTTATAATGCACTTGTATTATAATATAGAAATATTAATCCACAAATGTTAAATCAATAGGAGAAAATCTTATCCTAAAATTTATTAAAGTAGACTAATATTAAAATACTGACATCTGCAATATTAACCTTTATTCTTCCTATGCAAATTTTCCCTGGTGTACCAAAAATCTTGTTGACTTAAAATATAGAAAAGCAGAAATACTCTTTGAAAGAATTTATTGTTTTTAAAAGTGTTAAGTCATTTTTAAAACTCTTAATTATTATAATTTTAATTATGTTAATTGTATACATACAAAAGAAGAATTTCATATGTCAAAGCTGTCTTAAAACAACAAATCTAATTAATAAGATAGAGACCTTATTCAGAGCACAAGTCTAACCATTATAAATGACTATCAAACTACTCATTGACTCTAAGCCACAGGTTACTGTACTGTATCAAATCAAATCAAATATTGTAAAGCAGACCAATATAGAAACTAGTTGGTTAATATGGTATTAATTAGGGTTGTTGTTATTTGGTTGCCGAGTCATGTCCAGCTCTTTTGCAACCCGAAGGACTATAGTCACCAGGCTCCTCTATCCTTGGACTTCTCCAGGCAAGAGTACTGGAGTGTGTAGCCATTCCCTTCTCCAGGGGATCTTCCTGACCTAGGGATTGAACCTGGGTCTCCTGCATTGTAGGCAGATTCTTTACTGTCTGAGCAACCATGGAATCCCATTAATTAGGGTATCATTCCCTGATTCAACAGAGTCACATCTTTTATGCAGAATTAATTTTTAAAATCAGTAAAGCAAAATCATATAATGTCAAAATTATCCCGCTGAACTAGACTATAGTAAGGAACAAAAGGCAGAATGGAGAAAAGAATAAAAGAAAAGAAGGCAGAATGGCCATCATCAAAAACTCT